GTGAGAGTCACTTCTGAAGAACTTTCTTATTGAACAGCACATGCCTATATACTTCTTCAGAAGGGGCAAAACACAGAAATATAACTTGGTTACTTGAAACACAGCTTCCCCCTCCCCTGTTGCTAGGCTAGGATGGCTGGATGTCACAAACCCATCTTGCTAAACTCCCCAGCTTGTGGTTTTGTTACAAGCGAGACAAGGTGTCTTGGCAAATATGACTTTGTGACCGATAGATGATCCTCGTGGCTTGGCATTTCACAGTTCCTTGTTCTTTCTCTTGCTAATACCACCTATTTCACTATCTATAAAACTTGTATCCTTATTTCTCTAAAATTAGTATATTTTTATGTCCTGCCTTATACTTGTGTTTTGCATTTGGAAGAGATTTCTTTTCAGGTGGGGAGGGGGAGTAGAACACCTTAGCATCAGAGCATGTTAATAATAATAATAATATAGGAAATACTAACACCTCTGATGGTCATTTCACAAAATCCTTTCTTAGTGAGCACCTAGAAGCCAAGAGAAACTTACGTGCCAAATTTCAAGTTTGTAGGCTTTACGGTTCTGGATATTTTGTGATGATGTGTGAGGGGTCTTTCGCTTTTATATATATAGATTTTTCAGTTTTCATAATATTGTTTTCTCACTTTCTGCTGAATCATTGGGTTGTAAGTCAAAGAGTGCCTATAAAATCTTACCAACTGCATTCAGTCACAGCAGCTTCGATACGAAGGATTAAAACATCAAAGTGAGCAATGCCACTTCATGGCAAGTAGAGAGGATAAATAAAACCTTTTGTAACAAGATTAAAAACTCCAGAGAAATCTCTACTAAAAAAAAAAAATCAAACAGAGCCTCTCAGTAATGTAATTAATTAAAAGCAATCATGGGAAATGCAAGGACAAAGTGTTTGAAATTCCTCTGTGCAGGAGAGGAGAATTAAGTCATCCCCATTTTGCTAATTATAGGCTTAAGGAGGCTAATTGTTCTCTTTGGCATTTGTTCAGATAACATTTAAAAAGAAAACAATTGGGAAAATTAAGCTGACTTTGCAAAAGCTGGAACAAGAGAAGAGTGCCTGGTGATAAACAAAAGACGTAAATAACAGAAAAAAATAACATTTTTCCCTGGAGGTCCCAAAGGTGCTTTTTCAAAGAGGCAACTGGATTTTCTTGTTTTTACTTTTGAAGATATTTCGCTTCTCATCCAAGAAGCTTCTTCAGCTCTGACTGGATGGTGGGGAAGGGAAGGATTTATACTCCTTGCAGATAGCTGGTCATTTGCATCCTTTTAGAGGGTCGTTGAGGCCACTTGGAGGTTCATCTGTGTCCTCAGGGTCACCTGAGTAGTGCAAATGGATGTGCAGCCTTCTTGGAACAGCTGAATGGACAGTTGTATGGCTCCACATCTATTTGCATCACTCAGGTGACCCCGAGGATACAGATAAACCTCCAAGCATTCTCTTTCTTTTTTTTAAACAAATTTTTATTGATTTTAAAAACAAACAAAACATAAGACATCAAAGTATAAAACCTCCTTTCTCAAAAATTACTTATAAGTTTTAACAAGGCAAATAAAGCATTATTTTTTAAAGCATAGTTCCACATTATCACATTTCCATTTAAACACATATATATCTTTTCCAAATTTCTCATTGTTTCTCCCTTCACTTTTATTCAATTATATTTCTTTCTATCAAGGTTTTATTATTCTCCATCAAGCATACAAAATACAGAAAACAAGACATAAAAAGATAAAACCTTCTTAATTATTATTTATACATGTCTTTTCCAAATTTCTCTCCCTTTAGTTTTATTCCTCCAAGGTTTTATTAATTCACAATCAAAACATAGCTAACCAAAACACAAAACATAAAACATAAAACTTCTTTTGAAAAGTGGCTTAGCCCCGGGTCACATCTTTTTTTACAGACCTAAATCAAGTTCATGCTCACCTTATATACCATTCATATCTTATTAACCATTCTATATTTTCTATATAACTTCTCCCTTCTTTTCACTCTCTTAATTATATTTTGTTTATTTCATCTTATTTCAAAATCATTATGTTTGTATCTTTTGTCCGTTCTTTTCCAATCATCTATTTATCTCTTCTCTTTAGCAAAGAATTTCCCCTGTAATCACTTTTAAGGTATGACGCCTTTCCCTAAAGTAACACTTAAAATAATACATAATTTCTATCCTGATTCTGCTTAGTACATTCTACATGTTGCATTTTGGAAAAAAAAAAAAGAATAATAAACTTATAATATAGTTAAGTATATAATTTCCATTCTAATTCTAATTCTATTTAATAGTATAACTAAGCATTAATCATTTTACACATTCTCTTTAATATTTTATTAAATATTGAAATCTATCATTATAAAACATTTTAATATTTTAATATTTTGTTAAATCTTATAGTATTCCAATAGACTATTTCAAATGCAAATACTACAATACTATCTTATGTACTCTTGCAGAATCTTTCTTAAATTATACACTATTCTTTATCCTTTATCTATAAAAAGGATATCTTGTTTCAGACCGTGGCTTTTTTTCCCTTTTCCCCTCCCTTTCTTCTCCAGTCTGATTCTTTTGCCCCCCCCTCTTCTAACCTCCACCTTTTTAGCTTCCCCTCTCTGTTGTATTTCTCTTTTCAATTGCTTTCTAACCCCCAAGCGTTCTCAACGACCCTCGAAAAGGATGCAAATGACCAGCTGCCTGCAAGGAGTATAAATCCTTCCATTCCCCCACCATCCAGTCAGAGCCAAAGAAGCTTCTTGGATGAGAAGTGAAACGTCTTCAAAGAAAAAAAAAACAGAAAGTCCAGTTGCCTCTTTAGAAAAAAGCACCTTTGGGATAATCACGACTTGGATGACGGAGAATCTCCGTAGATATTTTCCCTGGATGGGATTTGAAGGAGCTTTAAAATTATTTTTCAAAAGCATATTTTTTAGCCTTTCCTTATTTCCTGACACTTTTTTCCAAGCTGCAAAGAGAGAGATATTCCTGGTGGTTTTTTTTTCAATTTTTCCCGTTCCCTCTTCCAAATGCAAGTAAAACTCTGGTGTCTGTTTGTCTGTTTGTAACCTTTAACTGGGTGAAACGGTGCATCGTAAGGCAACAATTTTTATACTGGGGCACCTCTAAAAGGAAATAACTTACACAGTGCGTCCAAAATGCAGGACCTAAGACTCCCGCGGAATTAAATTTGGCCAATTTAATGACACGCTTGATGACATAGAAATGATCATTAAGCATTTTATGACATAATAACATCATAAAAAATTAAAACGAACAAGAACAGATCATTTTTCTGTAGGAGAATGTACGAGATGGGCGGCAAATACATTTTATAAACAGGTAAATACATAAAATTTTAAATTACTTTTTTCACACTAGCATCCACCATTATATAGTGGCATTTAAATAGGGGATGGAGGGGGAGTTAAAAAAAAA